CATTTAATCCTTTTGGGATTCAGATTTCTTAGAACTGAGAGAGCCAAGCCAAAATGATATCAAGAGCCATAATAATCCTCGTTCTTCACTTAAGTTACTTCACAGGGAAATGGAGCTCAAGGTGTGCCTACAGGAGGACACAGGCATGTGTGAGAGCACAGCGCACTAACACGTAACAGACACATCCCTACAACTGAGCAGCCAGTGCTGCATTTCAGAGTTGAACTGGCTTAGCTTTAACCCGCAAGGTCCTAGTTTTTGGAAAGAGCAGATGAGAAGTTACCCCGAATTTATAAAGAACCTCGATCAGGTAGGTCTCCTAAAGGTCACACAATTAGTTATGGGCAGAGGGCAGACTGATCTAGATCTTTAACAGATCCAGGCGCCCTGTCTCCATCACTTCAGTGGGCCTGAAGCTTAAAAGAGCACAGAGTTTAAAATACCACTACGGCTGGCTAAGAACGGTTGTTCTCAAAGACGTTACAAAGCTTTTCCTTGTGAAAATTTTAAGAGTTTGAAGCAGTTTATCTTGATTTTTACTAATGGATATATTAGGCCCTTTAGATGAATTCTATTCTGATGTTCCCCCCATTAAAGAATGTCTAATTCTTCCTGTTCTCTACTTTGCTTCACTGCAAATATTGACTCTGAACAGCACACCCAGATTCCAGCATAATTCCTTTCAGTGGGACAGAGATACCAGGTCACTACGGAGATGCCTACAACCCAGTCTTCTCCTTGAAATAAATGGACACACCCTTTATCTCACAGTAGAAGTGATATTACCAAGTCTTCATAAAGTACACCATGGGCACATGTTTTATCTTTGTCCTTGCTCCCATCCTGGAAGGAAAGAGATTAATCAGAAGACAGGGATATGACATGGCCCTCTGAAATTAGCAGTGGGTTGAAATGCTTACCACCTCTAAGCTTGAAGGAAAGACCGGGTAATAATTAGTTGCCAGATTTCAAGAGCCCTGGACCTATGGCGAGGGCCTTTAACAGGACCTAACAGGGCCTATAGCTGGACCTACCCTGGAGGTGGCCAGGGGTTGAACTCAACAGGAGCCCGGATTAGAAAGAACTGATGGCACAATCTTTAGAAGTCAACTCTCTGGGACACAGAACAAAAAGGAGGATGAGACAGGGTGCAGAGGGAAAGTGGAGGACACTTAAAACAGAGCTCCATCCACCTGGGTGACTTCATCAGACAAAGGAAAAGATCTGGAACTGTCAATTAATTGCCATCATTCTTTCTTTTGGTATATATTTAGAAAACACAGTTAATGAAGTTGACCTTTAAGCAAAGGAAGCATAAAGCTCACAATAAATATGTAATTCACACAAGGAACACTTCCTACTGTTAACAATATTTAATAGTCTGATGTTTCTTTTGAGGAGAAGGTGACTGAGAAAAATGACACAAAACATTTTATAAGGGGATTAGATTGTAATGGCATTTATATTTATTTTAATTTTAGACTCCAGTTATTGCAATACTTCTATATTTAACCTTGAATCATTTTCATCATTTTAACTGCTTTATTTTGTGAGAAGATACTTTGAAAAGTTGTAATCTTGATTATAAAATCTGTTCTGCAAATTAGATAGCCATTCTAAAGCTGAAAAATGCAAAAAGGCTTAACTAATACCCCCATCAATAAGTCCACAAAGATTTAGCTGCCGAACAGTGAATTTTGGATTATTTTTTGTATTTACCTAAACAAAACAACAAACAAAACTCATTTGTGTACAGTTTTTGTTAAAAAGGAAATGATAATTAACTCATTGACTTATTTATGAATCTTGTCTAATTTCATTCATGCTTTGATTTTTTTGTTAAAATTAAGTTACTAATCAAAAGACTACATCCATGATTTTGTCCACTTTCTCTTGTTCTCTATAACTTTCAGTTTCATCAAAAGACAAATCTATTCATAAACATAGTTCTAAGTACTTTTTTGATTTTCAGAATATGCTTTACAAAGATTAAAGTCTATTACTATTAAGTCACATCACAATTTAATTCCTGATAAAACACTTGCTTAGTATGCATAAGGTCCTGGGTTCAATCCCAAGCACTGAAGAAAATGAAAGCATAATAATGTGTCAATATGTTCAAGTAGAAAGATTCAGAATTTTGATAAAATGTCTGTTTTAACAGTGAAAATGATAAGCATACGCTTTTGAAATGTGTATCAAAACTGGCTTTTCTGAATGGCATTAATATTTACCAATTCCTAATACTAGCATATTATTTACTCTATTCTTTGATAAAAGGAAATTCATGTGTTAAGGTAACTTGGGGTTAAAAATACCAAGCTATTCTGCTCCTATCTTTACAAAAAAACTGCTTTCATGATTTCTTTCTAAATGCAAGGTCCGGAAAGGCAAATTTATGTATGTAGATGAGTATGATTATGGAATGATGAAATCTGGTCTTTCTTAAAATATATTTTGTAAACTGAGACCTATCAGAGTATTCCACTTAAGAAAACCCACCGATATCCATTCACTCATTGAGCATCAGAAAGAATATTGTCGAATACTTGCTTTGACAGTACATAGTATGAAACACATTTCATACAGTGCTTTCTCTTGGCTATGCTCATGTATTCACCGAGGGAACACAGTGATAATTCATCCACTGAACTATGTGACAAAGCGGTTAAAATATCTGATATTAAATATATAAGCACAATGGTAACATAAACAAATTACAGACCCATTTTATTCATGTTTATATTTGCAATGCCTCAGGCACAACTTAGTAAAGACAGTTCCCTCCTCTCTAAGTTATCTGATGGTTAAGGTTCCATTACAAATGAGAAGTGCACACTCAAGCTTTAAACAATTTATTATTCAAATACACATTGCCTGACCATCCTGAACCACAATCTCGCTAATTTCCAATTGCTCCCATCCTTTCCTACAACTGGTGCTCACCACGTTTAAAGTGCAGGGCATTCTATGAAAATTTAAAACTATTTAAAATCACTATTATTGTTTATAGTTCTACAATATATTTAAAACCGAGATGACATCTGCTCCAAAACCAAACCAGTTATCAGCACACTATGAAAAGCAATTTCCTGGTTTATTTATATGATTCTCTCATCAATCACTAGAATTTCCCTAGACAAAGATTTGCAGGGTTGAAGTACTGGATGCTAGTCAACATTAGAGTGTTTTCTAAAGTTTGTATTTCCAAGTACCTCTTTAGGAAAGATGCTGTGTACACGATATTATACGGGTGATGGTTTCCTCACAGTGATGTTCTTAGGAATATTACTTCAAATGGTGTTTAATGGAAGAGTTGATTTTGAGATTGGAAAAAAACACTGAGAACTAGCAAATGATTGGAGCTTGCTTTTTTGTTTCAGCTCAATCTCCAACTCCAACTAAATCTAACTTTCAAGACATCCAAGAAGATAAACTCTAGGAAATTTATTTGGGCTGAAGTTTTGTTTGTGGTACATTGCAAGGCAGGGATTAAATCAACGTTCACATTTCCTATTTCAAGGTGGGAGACCCAGAAACATCTCCCCATCTGCCCCCCTCTCTCTGCCGTACTTTTCCATTTTGCCTTTCTCACACAGCCCAGCAGAAACCTCACAGGAAGAACAGTAGTCCACATAGTCCACATCAGTGCTCTACATGGTGGCAAATACATTAAGAAAACTGATCACACGTCTTTCATAATCTGCTAGGCAACGCGACAGTAACTAAGTCCTGCCCAGAGCCATCCGACTCCACTGCGAGTATGAGGCTCCAATAGGCACAGGTGGCAAATGTCAAGTTAACCCCTTTCTAACCTTGCCGTTTTCAACACTCAAACAAGCTCTCTCATTAGTCTTATAAAATAAAGTATGAAATTCCAACATCGTATCTCATGCTGTTAAATTAACAACATCACACTGCTACATATGACTTGAATGTCTCCCATAGCTTTATGACTGGAACAACACTGTTCAGATTTCATTTACCAGTTTAAAAATAGCAAACTCTAATTTGAAACATTCTCTCTCTCTCTCTCTCTCTCTCTCTCACACACACACTCTGTCTCTCTTTCTCTCTCTTAAACACACACACACACACACACACACAGATAAATATGCAATTGTGCACCCTCACTAATATTCCATCGCAGTCCGGGGTAAATATTTCCTTCTACAAATACAAAAGAAATTCAGTATAATCAGAGGTTTTGTCAAAAGATGATGTTTGTTATGAAACAAATCAACAATAAAATATTCCTTAGAGCAAAAATGACAAATCACAACCTACTTTTTGCAACTATGGCTGTTCATTCGCTTTTGATGTACAAATCAAAATTATTCAGGGTTAGTTTTGATTTGAAGATTATCCATTGATTATTGTATCTCTGCCCAATCACATTTCTTCTTCTTGGGTGGGCGGGTATTGAGCAAGGCGAGTGATATTCTCTAAACATCTTAAAATGATGCGATAATTTTCAAAAAGTGGCTGTCTTCAAATTTTGTTACTTCATAGGTTCAGAGATAAATGAAAAGAAATTTTAAAACATTGCGCACAGACCAATTCAAGTCCACACCAAATCCAAACTACTACCCCAAGCTTCCTAAATGAGAACTCCCTTATGGGGCACCGCAGAGACACTCAAAATACACAAGGCACTCCGATTAAGTTTCGATAGAAGTTATGTCACATTTAAACTCACCGCTGGATGTAAGGGTCAGGGCAGTACTGCAGGGTAGCACACCGTGACGTTTCAAAATTCATTTCCTTCAACTCTCTTTGATATCAACAAATAGAGAGCAGTGGTATAAAATACACACATCTACCTGTGTGTATGTAGATTTGTAGCCAGAAAGCTAAAAGCAGTAGGGTCAGATGCCATCAGACCTAGAAGTGTAGACACTTCCCCCCAACACGGATTTGCCAAGAGGCGGAGCATTTCTTCTTTTTAGCCAATGACAGTCATCAGGTGACGAGAAACATCACAGACAGTTGATTCTTACCAGCTGGGCATCTTCTCTAAAGTTGTTCCTCCTCCTCCACCTTGACGTATAGTAGCCACCCTGGTTGTTGGCAATTTGGAAGCATCTCTGAACTGCTGATCTAGCTCATGATTGGATGTTTGTATGAATGGCATCAGAGTTTAATTTCAGCAGCCTGGACGTTTGTAGCAGAACCGAGCTGATGAGTGTCCACTTCGAGCCAGCTACATACCATGTCCTTGTACCTGGGAACCCGTTTGATGTGAGGACTTCTGTGACTGCTTCAGGGGCTAAAATGTTGTGCTGTTTTGCAGAGCTGCTTAGGGAAGGGTTTTTTCATCCCTTCCCCCTCCCCTCCCCCCTCCAGCCTTCCTTTCAGCCAACCGCCTGTTGTGGTCACAATCTCAAATAGCAAAGACAGGGAAATTCCTTGATTATATTTAACCTAGAACTCACTCTTCATCTCAAATAAGAGAGATATCTGTTCATATCTCCTTAGAAATTCTGTCTGCCCCAAATAAAGGAAAATAACCTTTAATGATGTGTCTAAATATCCTGCCTCAAATACATCCATATATATATATTTGTTTTAATTTTCTTAAAGGGATGTTACAATAGGAAATCATACACCCATTTAGAATCTTTTAAAACTTATAAGATTATTTCAAATATCCTGTCAATAGAAATGTTCTAGTTTGTTTCAGTTTCTATCAGTTTGTTTCTCTCTCTTTTCTCTCTTTTTTTTTCCTCTCTCTTTTTGGTTTTGCTTTGACTCGATTTACTTTCAAATAAAATCATAACATTTTTCATGCATTCAGAAATTCACTAATATTGGGGAAAGTGTACATACAGAATGATTTCTTTCCTTTCTGAATGTGAGCTGTAAAAGTACCCTGGTTCTGTGGATTTAGAAATTGAATGAAATATGATTCAGAAGCTAAATTAGAGTAGACTCCAACAGAGGAAAAAAATCATGTGCCCAAGTGTCATTAACATGGCAAGTTCACATTTTCTATTTGTCTCCCATCACAAAACACCTGTAAACTAGTGATTCAGTAGATAGCCAAGTTGTGAGACAATCTAAATTCCTTTTTTGAGAAATGTGACATTTCTGAATAAGAAACTCTGGTTTAAAATGTGTTTCATAAAGATGTTTTATTTGTTGCCTCAGCCAGGATAGAAGGGAGAAGCTATTTAAAACTTGACATTCTCTTCCTTTACTTAGCCTGAGAGTGTCTAACATCTGTGAATTGTGAAATTCACAAACATGCCGTCCTGAGCCCCTGCCAAATCAAACAGCTTGTTCTACAAAATGTGAAACTTGAAGGAAAGATCATTTGACTAATTAATTATATATTTGCTAATTGGCGTGAGAGTCTTTGGCTCTCTTCCCTGCTATTGGCAAATACGAATGACCTAAATACAAAGTTCTTAAATTGAAAAGAGTCAATTTCCTGCACTCAGGACCAAAGGACTCCCTCACACAGGTCACTGATATTTTCACTTATAGAGTGAATTAAATGGTAATTTCAAGTGCAGGTATTCTCAAGTTTTAATGTACTGGTCAGTCACCTGGAAATCTTTTTCATTGCAGATTCTCAGGAGGACCGTGGGGAAGCCTGAGTTTCCACATTTCTAACACAACCTCAGCAGTACTCTCCCATGGCCAGCCAGTGTACCACACTTGGGAGGAGTGAGGTCTTGTGCTGTTCCCAGGTCTCATTTACAATTCAGTGGTCCTAGAGAATGAAGATGAGCACTTACATTTAAATTTCCATCTAAGGCTATAAAGACTCACAGTTGTTTTGCAAATATTCTCTCTCTCTCTCTCTCTCTCTCTCCATATTATAAATATATATAATATAATATATATTATAATATTATATTAGATAGATAGATACTATGTATATATGTATATACTATACATATATATATGTATGTACTATGTATATGTACATACTATATATTAGTGTATATTTCTAGTGTGTTAGTATATTTCTAGTGTATTCGTTTATATATATATATTAGTGTGTGTGTGTATATATATATGTATACGTATATTTTTAATTTTAGAAATTTTATCACAAACCCATTTACAACTTGGGAAAATAAGTGCCAATTATACTATAATTACTGTAACTGCCTCCTATTTCTATTCCATCCTTTCCCCCGGGAGGCTCAGGTTACTGTACAAATGTATAAATTATTTCTTTGGCATGCCAGGTAGTCACTTTTCATGGGCTTCAAGTCTTTTAAGCAAAAATTGCAACAGCAAAAATTAAATAGAAGCCTAGGAGAAGGTAATTGCCTTCCTGGCCTGCCTGTTTGAATGGTGTTTATGAGCACATTTGATTTATATGAAGAAGAGGAGAAAGAGCTTAGTCAAACAGCAGGGCTTAGGGTCTGGAACAATGGACCTGAGAGAGAGGAACAATTTTTTCTGCTCAACTTGTAGCAGCCAAAAATGTGCCCTCTGCCAAACTCAGATATTCCTAATACAAATGCTTCTCACTTATATCTACCACATTTATTTAACAACTTATTTTTCATGGTCTCTTTCCGGTAGTTTACATACTTCTCTGGTTGCTCTCCTGTCTTGGATCATATTTTGCTTTACCAGAGATGTTTCCACACCTCATCTGAATATTGTGCAAAACCCCAAAGGTCTCCCTTGTCCCTCCAGATTAAAGTAACCTGTGCTACCTCTAACTTCCTCAATCATTATACTGTGTCCGCATTTCTTTCCGTGAATCTATCTACAGTTCCCACAAGACTGTGGGGAGCTAGTGCTGAGTAAAGTTCATTTCGTGTTCTGGACCATGAACAGTCAGACCAGGCTGCCTATCAGATTCACTTCGTATCTTCAGAGACTATGAAATATTGTACAGTGAATTAATATACTCATATCCTTGCAAAAATCACCTAATGATAAGTATTGCAACTGACTAGAATAATTTCTATGAATCACTTGAGTTGTAGAATCAGCTTTATGATGAATAACTTTCGCACAACAAAATTCACCAGTTGTAAGTATTTACTCCGAAGCATTTTGATACATTATTCACCGAGATTCCTCCAGCGTAACGAAGCATGAAATTTTCCATTCTCCCCAAATCCCTCATAGCCCTTTGCCAGTCCTCCCACACTGCTGCCCTTGGCAATCACTATCTTGCTTTTTGTGAATGGAAATTAAATAGATATTTTTTGTAGCATGTTATCCAATAAAACTTTCTATGAGGAAGACAATATTTTATATTTTCGTGGTTTTTCTTTTTTTGTTCAATTCTAAGGACTGAACCCAGGACAGTTTACACTGAGCTCCACACCCATCCCCTTTTAATTTTTATTTAATTATGTAGTTTTGAGGCAGAGTCAAAGTCACTAAACTGCCTGGGCTGCACTTTAATTTGTGATCCTCCTACCTCAGCCTCCCAGAGTGCTGGGATTACAAGTATCCCGCTTAAATTTGCATTTTCTGATATAGTTGCTTCTAATTACATGAAGGTAATGTAATGAAGAAGTGAGATTTTTATTTTTATTTACTTTTAATCAACTTGAATTTTAGTAGCCACATGTGGCTAGTGACCACTATGTTGGACATCACAAAGCTAGAATGTCACATAAATGGAGGCCTGTACTATATATTCCTTTGTGCCTGTTTTCTTTTTGCACAGTGATGCTATTGTGTGGAGACACAGACATATTGTTAACCAGATCAGTGACCCAGAATTTTTTTGTAGATGTTAACCATGTGAATTGTTGATGTATAATTTGCATGCAATGACTGGTTTTCCTTTTTCTGGCAATGAAGAACAAATTATAGTGTTAGATACTCAACTATGGCTGTAACTAGAGTCCAGCAGGCTTTTAAAAAGCTCAGTGGTAGTTAATATAACACAGAACTTGCTCTTGGCCCAATCGAGTTATCTAGAAATGTAGTAAGTCCTTCTCTCCAAGAATGCCAGAACTCTAGACGAGGTAGGTTATGCTGTTAGTGAAAAGAAGTGGACTAATCTGGGTTTGCCTGGGTTCTGGTGCTATCTTACTTTCAGACCCTAATCGAGAAGCCTAATCTCTTTGAGAATTTGATTCTTTATTTTTAAAGAGCAAGGATGTATCAGTTAGGACATTTTCTGTCTAAGCAATAGAAGCTAACTCTGCTTAGCTAAAGCCAACACTGTAAAAACAGGTAGAAAGAAACATGAAAATTCAGAGTGAAAGACAAAGTTGACAATTAGACATTATAAAGGGCTAGAACCAAGATAGTTTTAGAGACTTCATTAATAATAATGGACACAGATTCTATTCACAGTGCCAGTGTAGACTTAAATCAGTACTCACTGATTGTTTATACTTGCTTAAGATTCGAATTTCAGAGGGGAGATGCCATGTTGGGTCAGGAAAAGCCTGAACCTCGATAACTTTCACCATGACTGCAGAAAGAGCTTTCAAATGAAATAGAGGTTCTGTTAGCCAAGGAAAAGTTGGGAGGTGCTGGGCAATGGGGAACCACAGATACAGCCATGCAAGTCTTAGATCATTTGATCTTGCATGTTCCTTAGAGCACTGCCAGGCTGTGTGTGTGAGCACTGAATTGCCAGAGCAGCTGAATTCCTTTGTGTCAAGAGGCTGAACCTCAGGCACTGCCCTCACCAGGTCATTCTGACCCATACCACTTCTTTTTAAAATAGAATTAGGAGGGAACTTTCTAGCACATAACTTGATAGAATCAACATACTAAACAGTACCCAAATTAAAGGAGCTGAAAAGCTTGATAATATTTAGTTGTGTAGTACTTTTCTGTCTGCAACCTTAGTTCTACGACTCTCTACAGAAGAGGAAACCAAAGCTTGGATCTGGTGTGTGTGGTGGTGGTGGTGGGGTCCAACTAATTTTTCCAACTTTGTGCTCTGTAAGTCTAATATTTCTTTCAGCCTGACAAGTAGTAGGAAGAAAGCTGGGTCTGGAAATTAAGTGTACTGGAAAGTGACCCAAAATTTTTTTTAAATCAATGAAAAAGCAAATACATCACAAACTTAGCCATGTGCTTCATCAGATTTAACCTCTACATTTTTGCAGGTCCTGGAATTCATCAAAGAGAAAATTGTAGTTAAGCTAAGGTCTTACAGCCTACTGAGAAGAAAAAGATGCTTCAGGGGGATATCCTAAGGAAAAGGACTCGTCTATTCAGAGGGTGTGCAAGGAAACACAGAAGCCAATTAGGCAGGGAGGAGGCTGGCAATTTCCCTCACAGACAAACCTGATACCCTCCAAGTCACACCCAGTGTCCAAAAG